CATGGGGTAAAATTAAAAAAAAAAACAGTTATTTCAATATTACACACAGACACTCCAATTTTATTAATATGTATAGATTACTGCAACCAGTGTAATTGATTCATTAGATCGCACCGGGACAGAGTTGTTGTGCAGATGTTTTACTGAAACTGAAAATGAAAACATAGCAGGGCTTTAACACCGCTATATACTTCTAAACAATAAAGTTGTATAGGTCATTAGGGATGTGGAATTATTAACTATTTTATTTGTTCATCTGCAGGGCGAAGCGGCGCGCGCGCTGCACGACCGGCTCGTGGCGTACGCGCACTTCGTGGCCGGAGATCCGGTAAGTGATCGTTTGCGAGGGAAACGCCTCTCTGTGTTAAAGACGGTTTTGACGCAGGACAAATATAAAACACATTTGACAGTTTTCCATTTAATTGCGGTTCGTTTACCACCTCTATGATCGCACAGGAGAGCCGGTCCGGCGTGTGCAGCGAGCACTCGTACGCGCGCGTGCGCGAGACGGGCGGCGCGGGCGCGGGGGCGGGGGCGGAGATGCGGGAGCTGCTGTCGGCCGCCCCGCCGCCCTCGCCCCCCGCGCCGCTCGACGTCGAGCACGTGTCCGGATGCGCGCCGCCCGACCTGTCGCTCGCCCCGCACCTCGACCACGAGAGCGACGCCGAGGAAGACGACGACGCCGACGAGGAGGATGTGTGGGAGGAGCGCGTGACCGCTCAGGCGCCGAGTGCGGCACACGCGCGGCTCGCACAGGCCGCGATAGACGTGTTGCGTGAGCTCCGACTGACTCGGCTGGCGCACGCGGGGACGGCGGCGCGGGGTTGCGGGGCGCTAGTGCGGCGTGAGCAGGCGCGGGCGGCGGCGCGACGGCTGCGGCGCGAGCTGGCTCCGCTGTGGGCGGGCGGGCGCGCGGCGGGCTGGCTGCACGGCGCGCTGTGCGGGGCGCTGCCGCGGTGCGAGCGCACGCTGTACGAGGAGGTGGTGGCGGAGCTGCGGCGGTCGGTGCCGCGGCTGGCGGAGCGGCTGTCGCCGGGCGGGGGCGCGGGGTCGGGCGCGGTGGCAGAGCGCGCCGTGGCCGGTGCCGGCGAGTGTT